CCGCACCCCACAGCCCCATTCTCCACGTCCATCGTACCTCCTAAGCTCCCGCTATTTTTCTATCCACACCCTCACAATCCAGGTGAGTTTTGCTCCTGCTGCTCAGCCAGAGCACCGTTACCATCCTCCCCCTACACATTCAAGGTTGCTTCTATGCAATCCCCCGTTCAAAAACTGCTCAAGTTAGGTAAAACGAAGGGGGTGTGAGTAGCAGCGTCGCTAGGACGGGAAAAGCTGGGCTGGCAGGGTAGGGAAGGGCTGCCAGGCAGGTAGTACACGGGCAGGGACGCTCCCAGGGCCTCTGAAGCAGGCAGGGGAGGCAGGCAGGCAGGAGCAGGGTTGCTGTCTGCTGCCTCAGGCATCAGCACAGGGGGGCATCGGGACCCCCAGGGCGCCAGGGAGGACCAGCAGCTTGCAGAACGGAAGGGCAGCCCATTTTAATGAGAAATTCACCTTTCCAGGGACAGCCAGGTTTACAGAACTGGGCTGCCTGGGTAAAGTGGGTTGGTGACTTGTAGGGGGGGAGCTTTGGATTTGTTAAGGGACAGAGAAGCACGGGAAAACCCTCAACAAGCCTGGGGGCTTGGGTACAGAGTTCGGAGCGATGTTTTCCCTCCTTCTGATTTCTCAAAGGATGCAGAGAGCATGTGAAATCCCGTACGTCACACGGTCCTTCCTCGCTGCGTGAGGCACCAGCAGCCAGCTTGGACACCCTCGCTCCAAGCCAGTGAGGGTACGATGAGCAGCGGGCAGGAGGGGGTACACCGGAGACCCCCTCTTCTACTGCCATCCCTGCACTACCCTCTCCGCCCTGTCCTGTGCCAGCTCCATCCATGCTGGGCTCGGCCCCCTCCCAGGCGAGAACGCCACGTTCCCGGTGTTCTCGGCTTGCCGTGTCCCACGGCGCGACAGTTGCCTGGAAACCGCCTCCGGCTGACACCATCAGCCGCCCCAGATTCAGCCAGCTCCGCGTTCCCTTCCCTGAGCCTTGCGCTAGCAAGATGGCCGATGGGAGCCGGGGCAAACGGGGAGGAAGAGGAGCGCTTTCCAGCCCGGCTGGCGGGCCTGCAGCCCTGCAGAAGGAGCCGGGCGGAGGGGAGCAGATGGCTTCCCCAGGGAAGGGAACACAGCGTCTTGCTCTGGGAGGTTTGCTGGATCCTGTCCGGACATACGGTTGGGAAAGAAGGCACCTAGGAGGGGTTGTAGCTGGAACACGGGATCGTTAGGTCATTGCTTAGTGGAAAAAAAACACCAACAAAACCCATGTGGTAACCGCTCGCATCAAAGAAACTGGGCTTGGTGCCCAGAGCAGGGCCACAGATTTCTTTAATCCAGAGCCAGCCCTGGGAGACCAAGGGGAGAAGACCCTCCTTCTTTCCAGTCCCCCAAACCAGCTCCAGACTGGGCTGGGGTGGATAGAAACCTCCCTCCCACCTCCTAGAGCCAGGCAGGGACCCCACGGGCTGAAGCCACCCCCCCGACCAGGCGTCCCACCCCTGCCCCGATTTAGCAGGAAGTGGAGGCAGTGGGATTAGGTGGGGCGCTTGCCACCCTCAGCACTTCAATGGCAGCATTAAATATTAACCAAAAGATTTTTCAGCGAGTCAGACACGAGCCCGCAGCAACGGGGAAGAGCCGGAGAGCTTCAAAGGTGCCTCGATTGCCTGACAGCACATTGTACCTTGTTGCCATGACATCATCACAGAGAAGCAGGAGAGTTCGCACCTCTTTCTTCCCATCTCCCCTCTCCCAGCCCTTCCTCCATCTTCCCAGCGCCTTGCCCCCTTCCCAGCAGGTTCGAGTCACCCCTGGGGCGGAGGAGGAGCCGCACATCCGAGGACATTTCCACTGCTGGCACCGAGTCAGGACTCCCCAGCGGCCAATAACGCCGCCGCCCATCTCCCCTCAGCAGGGAGAGATGAAGTCACAACGCGCAGCCCTCCGAGCCGCTGCCGCAGGGAAAATGAAAGTCCACCCGCCCCGCCCTCCGAGCCGCTGCCGCAGCTTGCTGGGATGGGTGGATAACGAGGGTCATTTCGGCTGGCACCGATGCATCACCCTGCGTTTTTCATCTCCTTTTCTACATCTGACAGCCTGATGCTTTGATGGGGATGGGCAATGGCAGCAATACGCAGGGGGCAAGAAACAAGAGGGCTGAGAGAACACAATAGCAAGCCACCTGTTGCCAGCCTCCCCAGCTTTCTGCTGAAAATTTGTAAGGTAAAAAACCTTCAGCAAGGGGCTGCAGCTTTATAGTTGAAAGCAGGCAGGCCCTAGAGGCTCCAAAGCATCAGCCACAGAGGGGTCTCTTGTGGAAAAGCACAGGACAAGGGACCATCTCTGATCCATGAACCATGCTCCCCGAAAATTACCGGCATGCCCGAAAATATGCCAGTTCCATGTCAAACTTACGGCAAAAGTCTTTTTTCTAACACACAGGGCCCAGTGTGGTATGGCTCAACTTGCAACGGCACGAAAATTGATCCATCTGATGTGCCCCGACAGGCAGAGCTGAATTTTGGGAAGGTGAGCTTTGTGCTTTCGCATATGGTGCCGACGACGGGCACACAAACCAGCTAAGACGGGCTGGCTTCTTTGTGGTAACTTCTTGTGGGAAAGCTGTCACCCTTGGAAACAAAAATAGCCTGCTGCTCTCCTGCGAGCCACCTTGCACTTACCTTGGGGGAGTTACAGCGTGGAAGCTGACTTGCTGCAAGTTCACACCTAGCTCACCTCAATCTGTTTGCACGCTCATGCTGCGAGAAGGCTGGGGGGCGGTCAGCCCGTGCTTCTTGCCGGCGCAGGTCATGGAGACATTGGCTTTGGTCAGCTGGCGGCCAGAGATAACAAACCGGCAGCGAGGCCAAAAGATTGCGTGCTGAGGTAAGCAGCTCCCCGTGATCATCTACAGGTCACCACGACCCTGCAGAGATGCCTATGACCAGCGTGTCTCTGCATATGCACACAGGAGTTAATTATTCATTAGCGTGAAAAAGGCACCATTAATGCGACAATGGCATGGCTGAAGGTATCACCATGCTTCAACGCAGGGCATTCCAAAGACTCGGGCTTTACTTTTTCCTCTGAACCTAGAGGAGACAGGAAGTTGTGGAAGATAAAAACCATCTTTTCCACCTGCCAGCTGTGGAAAGCGCCAGTCAACAGTGCTATCTTCACGTAACTGCAGCCAGCTGGAGTGAGACAGAGCAACCACACCAAGAGACAGCTCAAAGGATTTGGACTCTTCTACACTGCACAGCAATCCTGCCGCTGCGGTCCACTGCACTGGGCAAGCGTCACGGTACCAACTACCTTAGGACACCAGTTACATGTCCCCCTACCTTGCAATTCCCTTCTACCCGATCAATCAGGAATTATGTGAGAGGGTATTGGGCCTGGCCAGCACAGATGGTCCAAAATCGAAATAGTTTCCAGTTGTCTTCATCTTACTCTAATTCCTGGCTTATAGAAGAGCCCCTGACACAACAAAATGGAGGAAGGATACCTCCAGCATCACACTGAGGTTCAGAGAAGGAACAAAAGGAATTGTAAGACCCCCAACCAGTTTGATCCACCGCAGGCACTAATGAGAAAGGTCCCTTGGAATTGAACTAAGGGCTGGAGCGTTGCCTCTCACAAAACACGAGGTGCCAGTGGTACTGCTGGCGATGCTCTGAGAGGAAAGCCTGAAAACGAAGGAAGCCACAAACACGAGGTGCTGAAGGTCAGAGCAGAGGCTCACTGGCTGGGCAGAGGACACGGGCACACCAGCAGCACTACAGGGCTGGCAACCTTCCTCAGCATCGCTGCTTGTGACAGTGAAAGAAACCGAACAGGGAGGAGGAGAGCACATCTCTGGGACCCGCGAGTCACCCAGGAATCACACGGGATGGAGACTCACCACTGTCCTCCACCCGAGCTACACCACTACTTACTTAACTTCCACGTTTCCTGAACTGCTTTTCCTCCTCCTCCTCCACTTTGGGAGTTTCATTTTAGAATGCACACAGAAAAGGACATTTTACTAAATTTTTATTGTAAAAACACAGTTCCCCAGGTTTATATAAATAAGCCATATACGTAACATTCAATTAGATTCATTCCATCCTCCAACACTGACAGCTTTAAAAAAAATGAAACAGGCTAAAAGAATGCAAGTCCAAAAAAGACATTGGGTTTCTGATGACCAAGTGATATCTCACATGGAGCCTCCTTCCTCTACCAGCCTCCAAACAAGATGCTGAAAGTACACAGCACTTGCAACACCCCCAAGAACTGACAGGGAGGCATTCGAGCCTTACGAAGAGTTCTCACCCACTCCCCAGGCATCGTCACCAGCCGCCTGTGTTTTCATGCTAGCTCCGCGTGCGGTGGGTGAGAAAGGAGGGGGCAGTTTGCATAGCAACCTCCTACGCCCAGGCAGCTCAGCTGCTG